AAAATAGCTATTATCTGTTCTGTTGATTATCATGAATTTTTGCTGAAAATTTTAGTGTTTTCGATTTATTACCAAGAGGTCAATAAAATTTATATTAAGTTTTTAGCAATGTGGTACGTAGTACCTGCGATAGAATTTGTTCATTTTTACTTTTATTCTGTATCAATAAAGCTGACTAGTAGCTCGGTTTTACATATATAATCGTGTTTACTTTTGCATATATATTTCATGAATTTATCTATTGTATTGTTATCAATGTATATTAACTTACATATGATTGAGAATTTTTTAATAGAGCATGAAATTTTTTCATGCAGTCATGTGATTTTATTTATTTATTTTTGTTTACATAGCATGTATTTTGAAATTTTATCACACAAATATATATCTCCATGATAAAAGAATTGAATATATCCATATTTTATATAAAAAAATGGCAAATACACAATCTAAAGATGATTCATTGAGAGAATTGAATTACAGACTTGTAGCTGAGATTACTGAAATTAAAAAGAAATATGCTGAGGTTGAAGTGAAAATATTTCACTTAGAAATAAAAATGCTAATTTCTTGGCTAAGGAAACGGGCTTTTGGCCAGAATTATAGAATTGGAACAATCTGCAAAAGAGAATGAAAATAACACGAAGTTAAAAGATGCTAAAATCAATAAGCTTAGATCCAGAATTTCGAAATTAGAACAGATGCAGTTGCAAAACAATACTGTAAATAGATTAGACGTCAGAGTTAATTCTTCTGAGAATATCATTAATAGACTTGATCTTGTTATAAACTAGTGCATTGATACTAACTCCAAATTATTAACAGATAATACTAAGGAAATCAATCATTCCTCGGTTAATATTACCCCTTGTGAGAAACAGAGCACTATTTATATAGACATAACGAACTCTGGTAATACTTCTAAACAGATAGAAAATAGTTCCAACAATATATCTGATTTTGATATATACTAAGAAAAGGATAGCCAATCTTCTGCATATCCAATTCTCCCTGAAACAAATTCTAGCAATATTTTATGAGCAGATGGTCTTGCAAAAAGAAGAGGCTCCAGCATCTGATATATCTGACAACACTTCAAATTCTGATGTGCATCAGGAAGAGATGAAGTCTCGAATCTCTGCATTACCTATCAGTACAGAGACCAAATTGTTAAAAGATAAAGATATAGATGATTTCTTGGAAATGCAGAGAAAAGAAAACATTAGTAACACAATAAAAGAAAGAAAATGGGAAAAGAAATTTCAAGACTCTAGCTCTAATTTATCAAAACAGTTCTCTTTAGAGCAAAATACTGATTTACAAAAAATTCAAACTCCCAAAATAGACATACACCCTTTAATACAAGAATTAAAAATGGATCCTTTAGAAGAAGTTTACGTTAAGACTGTTAATATAGATAAAAATTCTACTGGTAATCAATTATCCGCAATCAAATTGGTACATCTATTTGAAAGAATATATTTTGCAGAATTCAATACTATACGAGCTAAGCAAGAGGAAATTGCTAGTTGGTATTCGTATAGAAAGTTCTTCGAAAAAAAGACATAGTGAAATTTTACCTGAGATTCTGAAAAAATATAAAAATATTACAAAACAAAAAGTATATGAGTTAGCAAGTAGTCAAATTTATGATGAAATGTTATATTATCTTTCAGGTATCTCCCGAGTAAATTTGCGTAAAAAAACACAACTAACTAAACCTATATATAAGTTGTTTAATGAAATTGGAGAAGATAAGATTTTGCGAATTAAGACTTATAGTGCAAATAAACTTTCAAAATTAATTGATACACAAATCGATACAATCATATATGAAGTGAGTCGTATTACAAAAAAATGTAGTACTAACCTCCCACTGCGTGAAAAAATTTCACGCTCTCACATGACCAACTCTGAACCTTCCCATAATCAAGATTCAGATATATCAGAAATCCAGGTAAGTATATCTACTGAATCATCTTATATCTCTAATTTGGAATATATGATAAGTAAGGATAACAAATCTTTACTAAAGACTAAAGTAAGTGTATCATCCAATCCAGCTCATTACCATGCTTATTTCCATAATAAAACATTAGATCAGTATCCTAATTTATATCGAGAAGGTAGTGATGGAAACGACGATTATTATGGAATTACTGATGAATCTTTATGCCTGCTATGCAAGTTAGATCATGATGATGATAATAGTATAGGAGGCAGATATGAAGTTGGATCCTACTATATTAAATATGAACAGCGTGGAATTGAAATTGAGGTAACAGCATGAACTTTAAACTTATACTAGCACAATTCGCTTAAGTCTTCTGAGGCATATTTATTTTTTTGTTGGTTATTGTTAATTTAGAAAGATGTGCAGTCATATATATAAAACAGAAACATGGATACACAGGCAAAAGCTAATAAAATATTGACTCCTGAATATTTGAAATAGAAAGCTAAATTAACAGAATTGCCAGGTATTTTGACAAATAAAATTTATTCTAGGTTATATAAAAGGTATAAGAATAAAACTGGATTCGATCTCTGAATAAACTCTAAAACCTTTGAGTCTCTACAAATCGAAAAGAATACCGAAAAAAAATATTATTTGTACTACAGATAAATGTTCAGCCTACACTATCCAAACTTCGACCATCAATTTCTATTCTACCTAAAGACCCAGAAGAAAAACAAAAACATGTTATTAAAATAGTATTAGAGTGATTTCCTTATTTAACTTTGAAATATAGTTTTAAATATAGTAATTATTTTGATTTTAATAGATCTGTACTCTGTCCTATATGCAATAAAGACTATAAAAAAGAAAATATAAGAAATAATATAGAGGGTTTATGGGAAGTGGCGATTATGTCAATACAAAAACTTATCATCTCTATTGTTATATAAATAAATATCAGAATTCAATCCCAATAGTAACAGTAAAAGCATAGGTTAATAAGTAGAGCCCATTCACATGATCAGTTAAAAAAAATGGCGAACCCACTGAACCTATTTTTTATTTCATAAAAAAATTGCTAAAATGGTATACAAATAAAAAAAATATACTACAGTTGCATACTGTAGACAAAAATATGAACTATTTATTAATTTTGATTTAGCCTTTCTTGTTATTGTCCAGGATTCTTATACTCACCGAAATCATTTTCCTCACACCATTCTAAATTTTCTTCTGAAAAATTGTCCAAGAGTCTGCCTTCATCAACATTATAGTCATCATCTTCTCTGGGGTTATAGGTTGAATCATCTAATTTAATACACGGACATGGCCTGATAAAATAAGTTTTAGCCTTAGTTTCACAAATATATGAAGAGCGCTTTCTAATAAAAGTTACCTTCTACCATATCTGTTTCTCCTACTTCTACGTTGACGATTGGAATTAGATGTCCTTTGGCTAGGTCTTGGATTGGGTGGTATTTGGGAACATAATAGTTCTCAGAGGGTTATTGTTATTAGTCGTAGAAGTAGTGGTGTTATTATTACTTGTGGTGGTGGCGTCATTAGTCTTGGGGGTGGTGTTGGTATAATTAGTCTTGGTGGTAGCAGTTTTTTTATTACTGCTTATTTTTCGTTCTAAATAAAAAATATAATAAGTAAAAATTCACTTTTGTAATCTCTGTTAAATAAAATATTACATTACTTTTTTAAAAAAAATATGGTCAGGTAAAAAATATACGAGCAAAAAATATTATTATAACCCACCTACAAAAAACAAAAAAAATGCTTATTTTTATACCACCTATTCGCAAGATCTAAAAGACTTGCCAGGAAAAAAGTTATATGATTAGTAATTGGATTAAGGAAACTCAATCTAGATCACACCATGTAAAGCAAGTCTATTCGGTTATAACTTCCAAATGCTGAATCTATTTTGTTATTTTTTTCTGGTAAAATTAATCCCCTTAGATTTGACGATCGTTTTGCGAAGTGAAAAAAGTCAACAATCTTGACGATCTGGTAATTCCAACTCCTCTATGATATATAAATTTGGATAAAACTACTGATAAGGAACGTTATACTTATTACCCTTATAGCTATTTTAAGCCCCATTCTTATTGCAAGATCATATAGGTCTAGACATTATTCGCATTATTCATAATATTCGTTATTAATAAAAATTAACCGTGGGAATTAATCCTGCAGGAGAGTGACACAAACCAATTCCTAATTTTATGCAACTTATAATATTGTAATGCAATAAAAAGATTTTTAAATTATTTTCACTACGTACGTATATTAAAAGGCCATAAACTACTGTTAAGCCACTGTCTCTTGGAAAGAGGATGCTCTGCATCTGAAGTGCTATTAGCTTTTTCTTAATAAACATATATAAAATCGCTAAGCCACTGTACATGCAGAAGTTTTATGACCTTCGATTTTCTTCTTTGGTATGACATGTGATATATTGATCAAACATCTGTGTTATGCAATCGATTTTATTACTAGAAATATCAGACATTTTCTGAGACTTTATTTTGGTAAAATTTTAGTGCTAAAATCACGTGATGCTACCACACAACAAAATATCAAAAATTAGCGATGTATATAGCAGGCCCATAGGGCGACTCGAAGAGTCATAACTGTACTATTTTTATTAATAAAGAAAAGTGATCGAGGATCTTTA